CATTTTCTTCTTCAAACATACTTTTCTTTGAAGTTGAAGAAGATGAATCTCCCTTTCTTGATTTAGCTGAAACTACAACAACTATTATCAAAACAACTATCCAAAAAACAAATAATATAATTCCGAAAAAAGTTGAACTTCTAAAATCAAATCCACATGAATCTTTTAGTGCTTTCATAATATTTTCTGTTTCTTCATTACTTTCTTTTTTTGGATTTTCTGTTTCTTCATCCTTTTTTGTTTCTATACTTTTTGTATCACTATATGTAATTGTACCATCATAATACTCATCTTCATCATCCTTTGGTTTTTTACTTAATGCTGGAATTGATGGAATAAATCCAGATATCCATGAAAAATAAATATCAGCCAATACCATCCAATATGCCCATCATTCTTATGTGAATGTACAGTTGCAAAAATTAAAAAGAATATAAAGAATAAGACGAAGATAACTCCGATAATTCCGCTAGTTATTTTTGTTGCTTTTTCTGAACATTTTTTACAGCAACATTTACAGCAACATTCAACAAACAGGTTTATAATCCATATAATTATAAATGAGAACGGGAATAAATAAATTATTGCTTTAATGCAAATATCCATTTTATCTTCTGATTTACATGAGCAATTATTACTTATGTAGTACAATAATTTATATACAAATTTTGCAATGACAAAAACCACAAATGCAATAGCATTTCCTATTAATCCTATCAATAAATAACAATATCCCATATAAGTTAATACACTTGGTTCTCCATGTTTTTTCGTTATGCAAAGTCCAGCAATTAACCCAGCAATTACACCAAAAACTAGAGCAATAATCCCAATGTAATGGAATATAAATCCTATAACCCTTATTAAAATTTCAATAAGACAGTAACGATTTCCATTACATCCATTACAACATGTTTTTGATTCATTGTCATTTGACTTTTCATCTCCAAACAAATACCCATGTGAACGGCATACATATTCAATTGAAAATAATATGAAATAATAAATAAGTTCTATTAATAACAATGATCCATATACCATCACATAACCATAGACAATTTTATACCAAATAGAAATTGTTGAATCAAGTATTAAATGACCAGTAGAAATAATGAAAAGAACAAATATTCCAATAAGTATTCCATTTGTAAAGATTAATAATTGGATTTGACAAGTAATTGAAACAATCCCTGGTATTGATGAAAGAAGTGAACAAAAACTTGGTTCCGATTTATCACATTCTCTTTGTGTGCAGGAACAACATCCTTTTTTGTTCTGTACTTTTGAAGTTTCTTGATATTCTGGTATTTCAATGTTTTCTTCTTTTTCTTGTTGTTGAGAGCCTGTCGTTTCATTGTTTACTTGTATTTCTTGTTGTTGAGAGTTTATCGTTTCTATATCTTGTTGTTCAGAATCTCCCATTTGAAAACACTGATTGATGTTGTAAACCCTTTGAATAAATACCATGTGTTTTTCTATTTTTAGTTTATCATCATTGAGAAAAGTTACAAACGAATTAATTTTTTTATATTACAACCAATTTCCTATCAACATTATTTAAAAATGCGGTAATATTTTCTTCATTTAGAATCTTTCTTTTTATTTATCTTATTCATTCTGTATTATGATTTATCATTTTATCAATGAAATAATAATATTATTAAATAATTTTTTTTCAAATGTTGTTTAAAAATAACATGAAAAAATATTAATTATCGAATTGTTTCTATACCCCCTAAAATGAATCGAAATATCAACAATATTATTTATTAACTATGTGAGATTTAAAAGAAATAACATCATATTCAAAATTATGTTTAATTTATTTATAAATAAAAGAATGAATAAATAAGAAAATGATATAATAACAATCAATCAACAAGAAATAAGAATAAAGAAGAATGAAAAGATATAAAAAGAGAAAAGA